CAAAAAAAAAAAAAAAAAAAAGATCCAGGTGGGGACAGGTGATGGCACTAAACTGCATCCCTAGTAAAGCCCTGAGACTAGGTGAGACATGCACAAAGTGACATTTCTCATCTTCAGAACTTTACTCTCTACTGGACAGCCAAGGCTTTGAGCCACAGAGAGAATCTCCAGCAGCAGGAAGCAGGGTGATAAACTGGGACAAGCATCCTTTCTCATAGGGATGGTCTGTGCTTCCTTTTCTGTCCAGGCTGCCAAGAAGCAGAGTCAAATCTGACGTTGTATCACAGTAACAAAATGTTCACACAAACATATTTGCTGTATTTTTTTTTTGCAGTTTTGATTATTCTACATTGTTAACCTTAATTATAAAATAGATACACAGAGTCCTCGCTAAAATTGCCTAAGATTATTTTCAGCCTGGGGCAGTGGGAGAAGAATCTTGGCTCAGCACTCTCTTCTGGGCCTCGGCTTCTTCCTCAATCAAATCAATCAAATCAATCAATCAAATTAAAGGCAGTATCTCAGATGCCCATATTCAACAATGGTTTTGAGGAGTAAACGAGGTAACAGAAGTGAGAAACTTCTGCAACTCTCATGGTGACCAGGAGTGGACACATTGTCCACGAGAACAGAGCAGGATGCCCTGCATGGCCAGCAGTGGTTCCTCCCCATCCACGTGAACCCTTCCACACAGCAGTGCAGCTTTATAAATTCAAATGAAAGATTTCAAACCAGCATTAAGGTTCAACTCACAGTCAATGGGGACTCATTATAGAAAAAGTGGGAAGCAAACTTTTGTCACAAATGAGGCATCGCTCAATCAGACCAGGGGCCTCCGAGTACGTCCGTGGGCAATGATACCAAGAGCTGCTACAGTGAAGTCCATCTGGCAAGGCAGGGACCTAAAATCCTCACGTTCCCAGTGTGAACTAAAATTGTGTGTTTAATAATGGAAGAAGGAAAAGATGTGAGAGAAAATAAATACCTTTGTTCCTGAGACCATCTTCAGGGAGGTCCGTGCATAGAGGTTCTTTGCTTGCCTGCATCAGGAGGTCCTCCTGCGGTAAGAAAATCCAGCGGTCAGGGAGGATCCAGAGACACCCGAGCTCACCAATGCCAATGATTCTCTGAGAGTCTTCTTTCCAACTCCTGGAAATTTGCTAGCAGTCACAAGGACTGGGAACTGAAGCAAACCTCAAATTCAAATTAATATAATCAATAAAACTTCCACTTCTCTAGAATCTGAGCTTGAAAAGCCAAGTTTCCCAAGGTCTGGACAATAACAGAGGTTTAGAATGCTGGGCTGCAGATCCAAACAAAACCCTGTAAGTATCCTCCAAATCAAGAAACACACTGATGCAATGTGATCTTAATTAAGTGAAAATCTGAATGGAAACTATCAGGAAGTTGAATATAACTCAATCCCTAACCATTCTCAGCATCACATACTCATTTTTTTCTCAAACTTCCTGGAAGAGCTATATTTCCTTTTCATCCCTGTTCACTGGAGGAGGGTATAAGGAGGAACATCATCAATGACAACCTACAGAGGGACTTCAGGAAAATGGGAAGGGGCAGCAGCAGCAGCGCATGTGTGGCATGGGGCCCCGTGAGGAAAGGTTCCGACCAGGCTGACCAGCTGGAGACACTGACAGACCAACGATGGCTGCTGACATCAAAGTTTCCTTCTGGGTCACCTCTTTTTTCTGCCCAAAGATTTTTTTTTTCACATGGATTTAACTGGTAAGTAAAAGATTCTGACATAGCACTCACTTAAATTGACAGATGGTAAAAATCACTGCTACAATGCTTGATAACTTTTACAGCACTTAAAAAAAAAATCACTGCCCACATTCTCCACCAAAAACAATCCCCCCCAAAAAACCCCAAAACAAAAACAACAACAACAAGGCTTCCCTGGTGGTGCAGTGGTTGAGAGTCCACCTGCTGATGCAGGAGACACGGGTTCGTGCCCTGGTCTGGGAAGATCTCACATGCCGCGGAGCGGCTGGGCCCGTGAGCCATGGCTGCTGAGCCTGCACATCCGGAGCCTGTGCTCCGCAACGGGAGAGGCCACAGCAGTGAGAGGCCCGCGTACCAAAAAACAAAAACAAAAACAAAAAAACCCAACAACAACAAACAAGCAAAACCATTTCATTTCTAAGCAAAGTTCTGTGGTGGAAACAGAAGATCAAAGTGATGGCAAATACAGGTGGACACAGGAGGAAATAAAGCATCATCACTGGAAGTGAGAGAAGAGGCTCGGCGTGGAGTGTCATGTACAAAGCAGGACTGTTCCTTCACTTTCTATTGCAACTTCAGTGTGGAATGCTTTTGCACAGCGTGAACTTAAAACAACCATCTCCCACAGAACTTATGTGTTACCACGTTTGGCCAAAAGAGTATAAATTCTAGCGTGATGCCAGGTCAAATTTATTTGTAAATGGGGAGAAGAAAAGCTCTTACTTACCGTAGAAGGAATGATGGAATTAGAAAATCACCATTTGGCAACCATCACAGTGATAATTATCTCAAGAATCATGAATGGATGTTAAAACTAGTTGCTAAAAGTTTGAATGAGAAACAGAAATATTTACATAGTTTCAAAATATCTCCCCACAAGATACTTAATAATTATGAAGGGGAAAATAGTACCTTCACAGTGGAGAAGCCTGGCGGACCCCACCTGAACCAGGTGATGGCAGTTCCCCTGCCCAGGAATGAGGCACCTCAATGTCAGGCGCTTGCTGAGAGGATGCACAGGAAGAACCACATCACTTCTGTGGGGTTCCTGCCCCCCAAATGCACAACCAGGATCTAATCATGAGGAAACATCATACAAACCCAAACTGAGGAAAATTCTACAAAATAAATGGCCTGTACTCTTTCAAGTGCCACGGTCATGAGCTGAGAAAATGTTACAGATTAAATGAGACTAAACAAACATGACAACTGAATGCCACAAATGATCCTGGACTTTTCCTAGACCAAGAAAGCATTTTCTTTTCTTTTGCTACAAAAGACTTCAGTGGGACAGTTGGCCAAATGTACTCTGATCAGTGTTAATTTCTTTATTTTGATTAGGGTACTGTGGTCACCTGACAGAATGCCGTTGTTTGCTAGGAAACACAGTCAAGTATTTAGGCATCACGTCTGCAACTATACGCTCAAATTATTCAGAAGGGAAAAAAAGCAAATGTGGTAAAATGTTAACATGTGAGGAATACGCATGAAGGGTAATGGGAATTCTTCACACTACTTTTGCAACTTTTCTGTAAGTCTCAAATTGTTTCAAAATAAGAGGTTAAGAAAACATCATTATTTGTAGTTACCCTTGATCCTTTCTCCACACTTCCAGTTCTCAGACTGAATGTTTGAAGTGTTAGATTAGATGCTATTTAGAGTATTTCTTCAGGTTAATACTTTATGGGAAAGGCCGGGTGCTGGAGCAAAAGCCAAGGGGTGAGGAGTCAGATGCAGCTCCGTTCCAGCCGCAGGACTCCCAACTGCTAGCTTTGCTGCACAGAGTGCATGCTTACAGGTGGTTTTATAAATGGGGACCACAGACACCTCGCAAGATGCCCCGTCAGGACGGGTGCCCCATGAGCAGAAGCTCTCACCATCCAGTAGACCTTAGACCTTAGATCTCACTTTCCTGTGAGAAAAGCCAATAGGACTGTCACCAACAGAGCCCAGTGTCATCTGGAGTGACCGCCCTAAGCTCTTCTGGGCCTAAAAGAGACTCTGCAGTGAGAGCTGACCTGCCAGCAGCATACAGGTCCCCTCAGATTCCCAAGGACTCTGGTGAGCTCGTATGATGAACCCTAAGGGCTCCGGCTCCTGGAGGGACTGCTGGGATTTTAGTCTGGCGCCACCTGCTGCTCTAAGGAGATGTCTTAGCTGGAGCCTGCACACACCCTGGTGGAGTGCCAACCTGACTGCTTCAAGCCATCCCCCCGTCTCCCTGCTTAGCCACGACTCCTAACAGTGAAAGGGAGCAGCAGAAGCAAGGAGTGACAGACTCTTCTCTCCCCCTGCCTTGCTGACTTCTCCTGAAAGGTTCTGAGTTATGAAAAACAAAGTTTCCCCTCACAGAGGGCTGTGGACCCTACAAAGTTTTAAGTCTAGATATGATCAGGAATTGACAGGGTTGAAAAACAGTGTGAGGCTGAGTTCAGATGTGAGGGACCCCCAACCACCAGCACCACGGCGGTGGGCCATCTTCAGATCAGGTGGGAGCTCAACCAGCCTTGGGTCTCAAACGCAGATGAAGGAACAGAACAGACCACTTGCAAGCAATGGCCGTGTAGCGTAAGCATCCTGTGTGCAACTCCCTCCATCCCCTTGAGCCAACGGATCATGTAATAAACACTTGTAGAAATTTATCAGACACAATATCCTTTTCCTACAATATTTTATCAGCTAAGTGTTCTAAGTTTCAGGATTCCTAGAGGTAAAGTCCTAAACATTTCTCTCTACCATCTAGATTTCACTAAATCTTGACATCTGATCGTTAATATCCTAACATTCCTTGCAAAATCTGTTTCCAAGATAAAAGTTCAAGTGGATCCCTCTTGCAAAATCAAATGAGATAATTGCAGTAGTTTGTAGCATTGTATAAACTATATAAAATAGGAAATGCCACGTAATAGTGCAATTTGTCAAACTGACAGCAAATTCTCTGCCTCAGCCTGGCACAGCCAACATGTCACCCTCCTGCCCACTGCTTGGAATCAAAACCAACTTAAAATACTTCTCCAAAGTTTAGGCAGATTTTAGGAGGGTCTTGAAAACCATTCTTACTGTTCGTCTGTAATCTTATTTCCCATTAAAAGCTGGCTGTGGGGCTTCCCTGGTGGCACAGTGGTTGAGAATATGCCTGCCGATGCAGGGGGCACGGGTTTGAGCCCTGGTCTGGGAAGATCCCACATGCCGCGGAGCAACTAGGCCCGTGAGCCACAACTACTGAGCCTGTGCGTCTGGAGCTTGTGCTCCGCAACAAGAGGCCGCAACAGTGAGAGGCCCACACACCGCGATGAAGAGTGGCCCCCGCTTGCCGCAACTAGAGAAAGCCCTCGCACAGAAACAAAGACCCAATACGGCCAAAAATAAAATTAAATTAAATAATAAAAATTTAAAAAGCTGGCTGTTTATCCTGGAAAAGACGCAATACTGATTCATTCCTATGAGGCTAGTATTGAGCCAGAAAAAAAAAACCCCACAAATATCTTTAGGAGGGAAATGAACATACACCAGGCCCTTCAGCTTTTATAAGCAGGGTAGTTATAAGCTCCTCAGGGCCTGAGGTACACCTGAGCCGTGAGCCCTGGTTGTAAGCAGATCTCGCCGACCTCCTCCAAGACTGAGCTTCCTGAGCTGGAGCAGTGGTGGTCCCAGCTTCAGGTGGGACTGCCGACATGGGACTACCGACACACTGAACACACAATAGGGCCCCAACACAGAGCAAATGAGATACCTTCAATTTCCTGGCACTTGTGGGAACAGCAGTGATCATGTTCACAGTGAAGAACACTGAAAATAAACAAGACGTTGGATCTCTAGATGGACCTTTCAGTTTCCTACGCTTGCATATCTAGGAAGAGCTGTAGGACAGTAACTTTAAATCATCTTTACTGAGCCTAAAAAGAAATTTTCCTCCACGTTATCTCAATTCAGAAAAACTTTAAATGAGGCACCAATCAAGTTAGCTGCGTAAGGCATTTAGTAACAGTCCGCCACAAGGATTTATCTAAGAGAACTGCTAAACTAATGAGGAGAAAGTTCCACCTTAAGTCCCAGCAATATGTGAATGGTGCTTTGGGCACTTCTTTGTCACACACTTTTAACAATATGAGCTGAGAACCACAGGCAAACCATCACTGTGGGGACCATGGTACCCTGGCAGACCGGGAGAACACCTTATGGCTACCAACTGTACTACTGAGAGTGTGAAGTTCAGATTCTTTCACCTTTAAATCACTGAAAATGAGTTCTTTCCAACAAGATTTCCTTTTAAGCAAACAGCAAGCCGCTTCACACTATTGCAAATTTCCCTTAG